TCGTCGAAAAAGGCGACGCGATGTCGCCTTAAAAAAAAAAAAAAAAAAAAAAAAAAAATATATATATATATATATATATATATATATATATATATATATATATACATACATTTGTTCCGTCCGGTAAGGGGCGGTCCGTGTACCGGTAAACTGACGGACCGGCACGTACTGCTCGTACCGGACGATATTATTCGAAATTACATACCTTGCTTTTTCTCTTATATGAAGCACCAAAGTCACCTAGGATGGATGAGGCCTTCCTTTTTCTAGCTTCCATCAAATGTGAGATCTTTAAGATTTGGGTTCCTCTTGCAGTTATACCATTAAAATGTAGGGCCTAAGGCTAGTGATACTATCATAAAGAAGGCAGACGTCATGGGATTCCAAATTAATTGTAAATCCCATGGGTGTGTTGATGTGGATAAGTTTTAGGTCTTTTATATGAAATATACAACAGTTATTTGTCATAATAGTATCTTTTTGTGATTTGGTTAATATTTATTTTTCAATAAATTTGCAATAATTATTTTTAATGGATTGATCTTCATTAATTTTTATTTATCATTTTTATGTAATTCTTATCTTTTATATTTTTTTTATCACTTTTTTAAAAGAAATACATCAATAAATAATTAAATATAAATGTAAAGCAAGCAATTAAAATATAATATTTTGTTGCCATGAATTTTATTTTATATGTTCTATTATTTTTATTCTTATAACTCTTAGTTTTTGAAGTTTTGTCATGTGATCATGATTCTGTTAATCTAATCTGACTAAATCTTGTAGATCCCAGTGGTATCATCTCTGGTTGATTTTCATGCCCATCTTGCAAAGTATGTCTCACAAGTGAATCTAATTTGACTATCTAATTGACAGATAGATTGCACATAGACTAAAGTCGGTCTGATTTGTTTATGACCTGATCCAATTATATTTGTAATATACTATCTCTACTCAGGTTTTATATAATTTATTTTGAGATTACACAGAGTATATTTATATTCAAAAATGTTAGAAGCAACTAGATTTAATTGAGATTGGAACTTCAGACCTCAATAGGGTTGGATGTGGATTTGCTTTTTGTCTACTTAGATTACTGGATTTTCTAAGATTGGGATCAGATTGAACCAAACCTATCCAATCCAGATTGATCCATCATAGCTTTAAATATGATTATGTACTCCATTAGACTCTTTTTATTGCAATACACAACCTGTTTTTTTTCTTGGGAACTGTTGAATGCTTATATACTAGAATTTTATTTTCACATTTCTAAGATGTGAGCAATTTTGCTTATGCCTTCTGAAATATATGAAATATTGCATGTATATCTCTTAAAAGTTGCAAATACTATGAATGCCCTTAAATGTGTTAATTCTTTCTATTATGTCTATGCTGTTGTTGTTCATCAACAGAGGTCCTGGAACATATCAATGTTTTAAATAAATGTTCTATGCCCAACAGTGCTTCTGCTTTATTATTTTCTCACTATACCTTGTTACAAGTCGTGATGATGAGCTACTTTTTGTTGGGCTTTAGATGGATCATGATCCTCACTTTTTGAAGGAAAAAAATAGGCCTTTGCCTATAGTAAGTCAGCCTAGTTTGTCACATTGATTGGTGAGCCTCATTCAAGTTAAATAAGGATGATTTTTACAATAAATTATATTGCTACTTCTAGAGGTCATTTTAATTCTGACATGGATAAAAGGTTACATCAGCTGGATGGGTGTTCAGGATAATTGTGTTGGTATTTATGGCATTTGCAATTTTATGAGTTCTTTTATGAAGTCATGACAGGCTATAGAGGCATCAATAATATTTTCCCAAAATATGTAAAGTTGATTAACCAGTAGAAGTAAATTTGGACTGTGAATGAGAAGCTTGAAGATGTGTAAAGAGGAAGTGCCTGAAGAAAGTGCAGGTTGACCTTGCTTTGATTTCCACCTTTTAATAGGGAAAAATGCTGATGAAAATCCTACATCGTTGGTCGATTTTATTTTACTAAATCTCATGGCATTACAATGGAAATCATCTGGCCAGTTCTAATCAATTTGTTGCCAAAAGAGGAAGAAGAGCACAAATTGAGAAGGAGGGTGAAAAGGAGAAAAAAAGGACCTAGTTGCTGTCTCCAATGCTACCGACTCTAGAAGTTGTTGATTGGCCCTGGTTGTTGCATTGCTTCACCCACTGTAGCCCCATGTGCAAGAAGCATGGAGTGAGTGATTGATAGACATGGAACTTGAAGAACAGAGAGGTTCCTTACTCCTCGACTCATGGTTCACACGGTCACCAACTCCCAGTATGGCTGTGTACTTACATGTAATACCAGGATCTATTTCTTAATTTTGTTTGAATAATAATGATATTTAGATGAGATATCTATGTTCTTGTATACTTAACATATGGATGGATACTTGTGTCAACTGTATACAATGTTTAATGCTGTACCAGTAGGCTGTTTACTGAGTACTGGGTACTGACTATATCTATTTGTTAGCACTTAGCAGTTTACCACGGTAACTGTAATATATTATTATACTATCTGCCAACTGATTGGTACTTAATATGGACTGGTGTTTAAATACTTGATAGTAAATATGTTGAATAATGATAGGAAAGGTGCTTACAAATCCAATGGTTCTAGTGCATTACCCTTTTGAATATGTATACAGATCGAAAATGCAAAATGTTGGCATGATTTGTGCCTCTCATGATATTGTTCCATGATAAATGGTGTTGCTTTGACAGTGGCATTAGCACCCCCAATCGACTAGAAATTGAAGATGACGGTTTTGAGGCGACAATGTGTCTCTATTTCTTAAGAAAACCTTGTTAATTTAAGGGAAGATCATGGCAGATGTTGCTTCATAAGCAACTGATTGGATTAAGGCGCATGCACTTATGGAGTATATTGTTAATAATGTAAGTTGCAATGATAGCATTGGTGTGCCATAGAAGTTGCAATAATAGTGTTGGTGTCCCCTGTGCTGATGATCTACCAACATGAGTTCTTTGCCGGCTGGCACAGCAAACAATACACAAAAGGTTGGATTGATACTCAAATTTTGATCTTTCCATCATGTCTTAGCACAGATGAAGCTCAACCTTGAATGCCTGAAACTTCCCAAAAATTCAAACGTGTTCAGTTATAAATTATAGAGAATCACCTTGTTTAAGATTGTGATTGCAATAGAACTGGTTTAAGTTTCCTCATTAAATTCACAAGAAACTTAGAGTGGGCTAATTTTTGTCATAAAAATGCCATTTGCAAGTTTATTCCAAATTTTCTTTATATAGGCAACGGAAAGGATGGTGGAAAAGTTTCTGGACGTATAGTGGATTCAGATATGCATGATGTTGGACGATTCTTAAATCGTCTTTTGGGCTTGCCACCTGATATTCAAAACAGGCCTGTTTTTCCTTATATTATTGAATATAATATATTGTTACTCAACTTTCATTTCAAGTAGCGAATATTCTAATCTGTCTTGCAGGCTGTTTGAGTTTTTTATCAGCTTCCTGGATCTTGTTGTTCATAATGCTCGAAATGAAGGGCAGTTTGATTCAGGAATTGTTGATATTAAAGCTAATGTTATTGAACTGCAAGGATCACCAAAGGTATTTGTTTATTTGGAATTACATTTTTCAGTGATCCTCAGGACTATTGCATTTATTATTTATAGCATTCTTTACAGATAGTTCATGTTGATAGTCTTTCTGGTGCTGCTACGGTATTGTTTACATTCACAGTTGACCGTGGAATTACTTGGGAGGTAAGTTTATCACATTCAACAATGATATTATCTCAGGATATGTAACAGTGGCTATTTGATTTTTCTAATAAGAGTTTGTCTTCATCCAGTCTGCAAAAACTCTACTGGACGAAAGGCAGATGGATGGAGTTGCTTATGTTAATGATGGATTCTATGAATCTAGAAGGGAATGGATGGGTAGAAGACACTTCATATTGGCGCTTGAGTGGTATGTTATCTTCTGATTGTCATAATTTCTCTCATATATTTGATTTCTCGTTTTCCTAAAGATACATGTTGTATTCCGTGGTTCACTTTACGCATGTAGTAGCTAGTTGAGGAAAGTACTTGAAGAGCATTAAGGTCATAGGAAATTTTCATTTTGTGATGTAATGATTTTCTGGAAGTTTATAGTTTTGGGAATTCCACTGGTTAAGATTCCTACTGTTACTGTACGAAGACAATAGCATGGGCTCATTTTGGATGGGTTTATGAGCCATGGCAGATTTGGGTTCTGACACCTCAACGCTAAGTGGTTGTATCATATCACTATAATTTCATTTTTTTTCAGTTATTTATCTACGTTCCAGGACTCTAGTCTCTAGTGACATCAATATCAACATGTCATCTCCATCAGACGGTGGGACAAGATAATCAAACAACATGTAATGCCTTTCAAGTGCATCTCAAGCCACCATCCATGGCTAGTGTTGAGACCCAAAAGTTGTTTGGCTAACAACAGCAAATCTTGGATATTATAGCATTCTCTCTTCTCTTCTCTTGAGTAAAACTGGCATTAAACAGTTAGTAATGAGTGCTTCCATTAGATATTACTACATATTTATCTTGTCCAAGTGGCATGTGAATGGGTCCATCTTTAGTAAGAAAAGAGGGTGGGGAGGGGATAAAATGATGTATAAGAAAAGAAGACAAAATAAAAAAGATATTTGAGTGTTGTCTTCCTCTTATTTTGAAAGTGAAATCTATCATAAGGCACTGTGAAAAAAGAGGTCCACTAACCTCATAAGGGTTATCACTAACCTGTTTACAAGTAATATATTTCTCTTTGCATAAAAAACTTATGTTTCAAATTTTAACTACGTGAAGCTTTAACCAAGATTGGTTCTACTTGTGATATTGAAGCCTGCTCTAGTTTTATAGGTGCCAAGTGGCATGGTTCAAAATACCAGTCAGATTGATTCATGTGGACCACTAGTTACTGGTCTGACCAACCATTGGTAATGGCCCATATAACTTGATAATGCTTGATATATACCACCTTATTATTATGACTAGATATAGTGTCAGCAAGAATCACAAATGCTTATGCTACTTAATATGTTAGTATTGCACTAATTCAATAGTTTATTGAATTCAGTATCAAACTTATATTTAAAACCTTGGCAGGTAGATTAAACTTGTATTTCTCTTCCTCAAACCACTTTAGTCAATTTGAAGATCCTTTATTATATTGAATAAATTTAAAGATCCTTTATCATGTAAACCTAGGTTTGCGTTTCTGAGAAGAAATTTACAATGTAAGCTTTCCAAAATCAACTAGTCCCTGACCTAATTGAAGTAGGTGTTAGTTTCTTGGGGAATGTAAGGCCTTCATATGGGTGATTTGGTTTCTAACTACCCTATAACAGTTTTTTCTTTCTCAGTTTCACTAGTTGTAATTAAGTACCAAATGATCTAAATTTTATAGCTTCTCAAGTTTGGACTGAATAAAGATGTTTTAAATAAATGATATGTAAAAACATAGACTCAATATAACATGGGCGAATATCCAGAAAAGCCCCTAGTGTTTTAGTTTTTTTTCAAATTGTGCCCTGTTTTTTAAATTATTCTCACACAGTGTCTCTTTTCCCTCAGATGACCAAAATATCCTCAAAATGGGGCATGCCAGTTTTTCGATTTTATGAGGTTTCCTGTAAATTGCATAACTACCTTATTCTTTGATATTTTTTATTCAAAAACATATTCAAAGAATCTCCATATCACTAGGTGTCACCCTATAAAAAAATTTAGTAGATTAATGTTTAATATAATCAAGTTTAGACAAGCTTCAAAAGTCTTTTTGTAAACAATATAACTGCCATATTCTCAGGTTTTCTTGATCGAAAAAGGATGTATTTATCACTAAGACCCACAGTCCCACACTGCAAAAAATGAATAAATTTTAGTTTAATTTAGTTAAGTTTAGAACAGTTGGAAGGTTTTCTAAAAATAGTGTAACTCCTCTTATCATCGAGTTACTTTTTTCGAGAATAGATCCAAAGAATCTACTTGTAACTAAGAGACATCTTGCAAAAAATTAATAACTTTAAGTTTAATTTAGCAAAACCTAGGCTAGTTACAAGATTTCTTGAAAACTGTGTAATTGTCCTGTTCTTATGTTAGTTTTTACAAAAATGTACCCACAAAATCTCCCTGATCAATAGGTTCCATCGTCAAAAAAAAAAGAGTAAGTTTAAACTTAAGTTAGCTAAGTTCAAATCAGTTTTAAAGCTCTCTGTAAATGTATAGCTGCTTTATTCTTAGTTTTATTGTTTGAAATATACCCAATAAATATTTTTATCACAAAGACACTTCCTGCAGGACAAACAAAATTCACCATCTGGTGAAGTTTTTGAGTATATTTTCAGACAAAAAAGACTCGAGAACAGGGCAGTCATACTATTTCCATGAATCCTTTTAACTTGCTTGATTAATTTAAACTTAAATTTATTCAATTTTTGTAGGTCAGATTCTATTAATAATGAAGTTCTTTAGGTATAATTTCTGATAAAAACACCAAGAATAAGCTATGACTCTATTTTTAGAAAAATTTATAACCGACTTAAACTTGTATGTACTCAATTATTTTAGGGTGAATCCTAGTGATATGTAGGTTCTTTGGGTATATTTTTGGGAAAAATAGCCTAAGAATAGGGCATTTACACAAGAAACTTGGTAACTATACTTATTTATAGTTTTTATTAAATTTTTTTAGATTTTCCTCTACCTCTCTTCGTACTATTAATCAAGGTTTGAAATTTCGTATCGTACCGGAGTTTCGACGATCTCTCGGTGCGGTACGGAACGGTATACCGCTCGGTATACCGAGCGGTATACCGAGCGATATATGTATATATATATATTATTATATATTTTTTTTATTTTTTTATTGGCCGACGTCGCATCGCCTCGGCGACGTCGCCTTTTCCTTCCCCACACGGGGCGACGTCGCCGAGGCGACGTTTATTTAATATATATATATATATATATATATATATAGCGACGTCGCCGAAAAAGGCGACGTCGTGTCGCCTCGGCGACGTCT